TTGTACATGTTTTTAATTTAGGAAATTTTGGGGCATTTTTGTTTTTATGGCTATGTGTGTGTGTGTTTTGGTTGATTGTTGTGTGTGAATAGGCGCTATGACGTGTCGGAGGTGCGAGAGCGCCCATTATCGGCCTCCTCTGGAGTTTAACTGTGTATTGTGTGTAGGTGTGTGTTGGTTTGTAGTGTCGGTGGGCGGGCGGTAGTGTCTGGGGTCATTGACCTGCCTCGGTGCGCCGTGATATGCACTGTTATGCACTGGTGTCCTATAGTATGTACTTGGCTGCATGTGTGGTCGATGTGGGAATCTTGGTTGCCCATGTGGCTGTTGCATGTATTGTGGTGTGTATTGCCTATGTTGAGGTGTGAATTGCCTATTTTGAGGTGTGAATTGTCTATTTTGAGGTGTGAATTGCCTATTTTGAGGTGTAAATTGCCTGTTTTGAGGTGTGAATTGCCTATTATTTTCTGTTCTGGTTTCCCATCGGCGTGATTGCGAGTTGTTACCCTCCTCTAACTGTCTCACAACTTCTAATTTTGGGATAAGCGCTATTAAATCATCAAGTTTGGTCGGCGGCGGGAATCCCGCAAGACGTGCCCTATTTGTCGCGTTTATACCTGTCAATATTACCTCCAGTAAGTCGTATTCTGTTGGTATTAGGATTTCTGCTGATTCTTTCACCTGGATAATGAAATCTGAAAGTGACTCGAATTGACCCTGTACCCTATAGACTGTTTGAGTCAGGAGCTGTTGTTTTGCCCTTTCTGGCAGAAAGGTACTAATTATAGTAGGAATTGTTTTACCCTTGACCTCCCAGTTCTCCTGTAATGCCATGGTCCAAATATCCCTTAATTGCCCTGCTGTTTTGTGTAACAATGCTATTGTGATTGATTTGTCGTCGGCTAACTTTAATTTCTCAATTTGAATGGCCGTTTTCAAGAAGGCTAACAATTTGCTTGTGTCAGTGCCGTCGCAGTTGGGAGCTTTCGACGCTAGATCGTCGACTAATCTCGGGTTTGTGTGGGTGTGTGTTGATTGTGTTACTGGTTTGTTTTGAGATAAAGCTTGAGCGATTGAATCGCCTATGGCTTGGGCTGTGATTCTAATCATTTCCGCCGTCTGATCCGCTAAGATGGGTGTGTTTTGTTCCGTGGGTTTTGGTGTGTCTGGTACCGTTGGCACTTGCGCTGTCACCGCGTTCTTTAAAATGACCCTATTTTCTTCCAGTGTCTTGGCTGGGGTTAAGCCCCACTTCTCGCACTGTAGAATTGCGCTTTGCGCATCAAAATCTCGTATCCATGATACCCCTGTGGGTTTTGTTTCCCACTCGTAAATCTTGGACATCTTGCCTTGATCTACTATTATTTGAATAGTAAAAAAATTCAAGACCTAAAAACCTTTTTGATATCAACTATTTTACCAAACAGGTGGGAAGAGTTTGGGCCGGGCAAATTGTAATTTAATAAGACAAAGAGAGAAATTATTTAAAAAAAAGGTGTGAATTTTGCCTAATGATTGTATTTTACTGCAATTGGTGTGTCAAATGTTTGACTAAGATCTGATTCCCTATATTGTTCAAATGTATGTCGTCCCTACGATTTGAATGTCTGTACGTGTGTAAATAATATTTATTTGAATTTAAAACATGTGTTAGAAAAATTGGCTGGGTATTTTGATTTGACAATGTGTGTAAAAATGTGTTGAATTGAGTAATTTTATCTATTGTGTGTGGTGTATATTCTGACCTAGGGAAATATGGTAATCCTAACAGTATCAACCTGCTGCCTAGATAACGTTTCCTGATTACCCTGAGCAATGATACATATTGCTGTGTCACCATTGTTATTGATGTATTGCTGAATATGTCATTGGTTCCTATCCACAACAATAATGGTATTTCACTGTTGAAATATGGATTTGTGATTTTAATTTTTTTCTTTAATTGTCCAATTGTTGCGCCTGAAATCCCCATACTGTATTCTAATTTTAATTTACTACCTTCTCGGTTAACAAAATATTCCAGACGTTTAGTCAGTGAATCGCCGAGTATTTGAATTTGTATCATATTACGGTATCAAGGTGGTCGAAAGAGTGTAGCAGGGTAATGGCATGTCGGTATGTCGGAATTCTTTTGTTTGGTTGTAGTGTCGGGCCTGCATGTTCAAGGTCGCTGCGAGTGAATGAAATTTTGTGGACTGCAAAATATAAAACTGTAATGCATTTTATGTCTGACATCTATTGCTGTACTGATTGTTGTGTTATTGTTGTACGAAATTACATGATATTTTATGTAAGATAATAATATGTTGATGTGAACAATGAATTGACCCTGTGATTTTGGCCTGATTCAGAAGGAATCAACATTGTCAATTAATGGCCTAAATTGACTGAAATGTTATGAAGTGACGATTTACTCAAGCAAATGTTGTACACAGGCTCTTGGCTTTCTTTTGATTATGTAGTACATTATTTTTTTACATTTATTATTATTATATATTTTTTTTTTACGTTTTAAATGTTTTTCTGTTTTTATATTTATTTTATATATTTATTTGTATTTTTGTTTAAGATGAGCCTGTAATAACTGTGTGTAATGTATATTTAAATCGTGTATGTTTGCTTGGAAATAACAAATCTGGCCTTAAATCGTCGCTTTATCTTTGAACTTCTGTTATCTAACATTCCAGTTCTGTTCTAAGTCTGTCTGGCCTACTAATGACATGGACTCTCAACTTTCACTAGCCCACCTCAAATATCAAAACTTTGCTGAACAACTTAAATTCTAAACACAACTTAAATTAAGGTGATGAGCTACAACTAAAATATGTCAGACTACGCTTTAAAATACTATTTTAATCCTTAATTAATTCACTGCAGTACCCTTTCGGCTGTAAAAATTATGAAATAAAAATTTTTGGGGATATTTATGACTTTTTGGGGTTGGGGAGGTGACATACAAATGAATTTAAAATTCCCCCCAATTTTGAATTTTGATTTTTTGGTCGTGGCCTGTAAACTATACCGATGTGCACTTTGACTCCTAATATTTTGCTTTCCTTAATAAAAATATTCATCAAACACTCATTCGGCTTGTCGTCGAGGTATATTTAATTTAATTACTGCCTTTCAGACTTGATGTCGAACTCGTGAGTGATTACATAAATGCATTTAAACATATTTATCAACTTGGTTTGGTAAAATATTAATAAAAAACATCAAGGTTCTCCTAATTCTACTTTGAAATTAAAACATTCTCATCAAAATTGATTTTTAAATTTTCCTTGGAAATAAAATAAATTGAATGATATTGATTCACATTTCATGACGTGCCTAGCTATGCATGCTCGTGCGTTCCAGGTCGCCACGTGGTGCCGACCTGTAGCCTGCCGATTTCCTGTCTGAACAAAGCACTTGGCTGGTCTGAGACACGTTTTAATCTATTCTATTTCTGTTAAAATTGCATTTTTGGCCGGATCTTGACGCTCTGCTACCAATATGTGATGATGTGGAGTAGTATGAGTGTAAATGAAGATACCTGGGCCCTATATATCTTCCTCTAACCACTGCCAAATCACGCACATTTCCTGTCGAAACCCAACTCTATTGCAAGGAATTAATTTAGCTCGTCAAAGTGCACAATATTACCTTAGCTGCCTATCACAGCCAGCTTTTATGTTCTTAATGTATCTAATTATAATATAATGAACAGAGAAATATATATATGGACTTATTCTAATTCGTGAAAAAGGTTACTAGACTTAGCAAATGTGAATTCTAATTTACGATATTAATTGCCAGACCACGACCCTTCGAGAACCTAATAAACTACATGATTGAATTACTTTTTGCCCCAACCTACACCCTTTCCCCAACCCCTACTTCTATTAGCTAGACATCTTAGGTTACAGTCTACTTATCCGATCAGATGTACAGCTCCAGGCGCTCGACACTACACTGTACTGCTCTTGGTTCGCTGCGCGTGCCTACCCGGGTGACTGCGCGCGCATCGTAGTCATGTGACTTGCGCTATTGTAGCGATCCGCTACAATCTGTCTTTTTCATAGTTATGCGGTAGTGTTATTTTATTACCGTAATCAGAGATCGGCATTATAGTGGTATTAACGAGTATCTTTAAAAATATTATAACGCATTTAAATGTTTCTAACTTGGAAAAGTAACGTTTTAATACTAAACTAGCTTCTTTTCCCTATCATAATATCAAACTAAATTATTTTCCTATTCATATAGAACATTTGTGTGTATAATGCATTAATTCTGAAGTAAACATAAAATACAAGAAAATATTTCCTTCAATATATAAACAAAACAGTTCAGTATGTTTTTTATATATTTATGTTATCCAGCTACAATTTATAGATTTTCAAAATATACACACAATATTTAATTTCAATCATATTGCAGTTTGAGCCGCGCCGACTTGAAATACGTGAGCTTGCCTAATACAAAAGTTTACTTTATTGAAATTATTTCATTCTTTTTAGAGCGTTTGAAGTCGGTTGTATTTTTTTACAAAAATAAATTATTTACCTACTCTTTAGCGAGGAATCATAAATCATGGCAATATTCTTTTTTCATCCTGTAATTGGTTATTAACTGAACATAGATGTGTTTGTAGCCTATATGAACATTTAATAATAGAATTATATACTGTGAGATTGCCGTATAATTTAGAAACACCCTGTAATTCCTATGACTCGTTAGGCTTATATATTGGCTTATAGTACTGTTTTACTGCTGTATTACAACTAGCCTACCAATATGGCTTCAATTATTGCAAAAAAAATGGAGGATTTTTTACCTTTATTTTATATTTGCCTGGCCCACTAGACCCAAAAATTTAATTTTATTTTTATGTCTGTTTCAAACCAGGGGAAATGTTTTGCTATCTAATCATCACAATAAAAATAGTTTTTAGTTGTTTTTGTTTTTTAACCTTAACTCTAATCAATTAAATAAATCCTTGTTTGATTATTTTCCAGTATGGTGAGATAGAAGAAATGAACGTGTGTGACAACTTAGGAGATCATCTAGTTGGAAATGTTTACATCAAGGTTTGTATGGTTTACTAAGATCAACTCTTATTATAGGTAGTTTAGCTTACTTAGTTTAGGAGAGGGACTTGAAAGTCTTTGCTTTTAAAGGAAAATACAAGTACATATTCATTATAAGTCTAGTTAATTATTTTTTGTCTCATAAAATTACCATGAACATTTTATTGTTATGTCCTGTTGTTTGGTTTTTCTTTTTCTTTAGTTCTGACTTTCAGTTAAATTTTACTAATCTTACAATGGGAAAACTTATTCTGTTGCCTATTGTATGTATGACATAAACACCCATAGTCTTCTTCTACTTGGATGATGTAACCAAACATTAAAACACAATTATTAGCCTTCTTTAGTTTGTAAAAATGTATTCTCAAATACTAGTGTTGAGCTGTGGCTAACTTTGCTCAACCACTCTTAAACAGTAGAACAGCCACCTGACCGAAGTAGAAGTATATGAAGTTCCGAACCTCATGAGTGACGTAACTGCCGAAGCTTCTACCCACGACACAGTGCCAAGTCGGGCTGTACTTTCTGTCAAACTCCTTCTTTATATAGGACGCTATGTCTTTTTCCACTGTGTATTTCTGTATAGCCTGACTGGCCAAGTCTACAGCGTCACGCTGCATATCGTCTGTCATATCCACACTCTTTATTGTCACTCTCTCATCAGTAATTGACATTGTGCAAGTTCTTCTACTTGTTCAGATATTTTAACTTGAAATTTAGACCTGGAAATAATTGTCAAGTAAAGGGTTAGGTACCTGGGATTTATGTTCCCTCTATTTATTGTAACAGCCTATGTTACTAACTATTTTTGTTAATTTAGTTTAACATTAATCTTACTTTAGTTCCATCAGACATTTAATTTAGACTAGCTAGTTTCTGTTACCATCCCATTGAGCATGTATTTACCTACTTTGTATGGTCTCCATTTCAATGATAAGTATTATATCATAAATAAAATACACATTTATTGACCTTAAACAATTTTAGAATTTTCTATTTATTGCTAAAATTGTTTATGTAAGATGAAGCTGTCTGAGTAGTTGAGTGGTTATTGTGCTCTGAAAGTCTTTGGTTTGTTACTAAGATAGATCAATACTGAGCCCAATGCGTTTGGTTTTCAGGTTCTTAATTAAGCTTTCTAACAGAAGATCAGCGTTATATATTATTAGCGAGAATAGGGTTTGGACCTTTCTCTCAAAAAATGTCAATGGCATAGGTAAATATAAAAATATGAAAAGATGGATTTTTGCTTGATATGATTATTAATGTACTGCAATTCAATGTATGCACAGTTTCGAAGAGAAGAGGATGCTGAGAAAGCTGTCAATGACCTCAACAACCGTTGGTTCGGTGGACGGCCAGTTTATGCCGAGTTGAGCCCAGTCACCGACTTTCGTGAAGCATGTTGCCGACAGTATGAAATGGGGTTAGTGTTAGCTTTTTTAACTGTAGTGATTGGAATTAATCAGTTAGTAACATTTTAATTTTTCAACCATTATAATCATTGACCATTCCCTACATTACTTACATTTAATTTATTCTCTGTGCACCTAAGACTATTCCATTAAAATAACTGAAAAATTTATGCGCTTACCTGATCTTGTTTGATAAAAATGTCCTAATTTTAAGTGGGATGCTGATTGTGTTTAAATTGTTACCATGGTAATGCCGTGAATTATTTTTAACTAGGAAGTCATCTAAGTATTTTACAAGCTCTCTTAGCAATCCAGAAATCTTCTTTTCGTGCAAAAGCTGTTGATTATACCCTTAGCAAATTTAGAATTCTTTTGGTCAGCATCAAAAGTGAATGCAATCTTAAAGAAGCTAGCTGCTGGCCTGGTGTTTATGGTGTATTGGACAGTGACAGCAAACTTTAGCTGAGCAAACAAGGATAAAAACATGTTTATGTTAATGCAAACTTAACAACCTAGACCCAGAGTGTTGCCAGTCTAGAATGCAGCACTGCTAGCCTAGGCCTGGGTTCAAATCTAGCCAATCACCAATGGTTTTTTTAGCTAAGTTATGTTATGGTGATTGTAGGCTACTTTAGGCTCTACATTTCCTCTTCCTGGAAATAATAAGGATAGGTGATTTAAAGAATTAGATGTTATTTATTAACAATTTCGTCAAAATTGTGTTTTTTTTTTGTTGTAGAAATTGGAAATTGTGAAAATTGATCTAAAATTTTGTCAAAATTGTGTATTTTTTTAAGTAGAAATTTGATCAACTTGATAGGTGAAAACAATTTTTTTATGAGAAGAACCTCATACGTAAATTTAAGTTTCCCTTTTTGTTCTTAGAAAATAAAAACTATACAAAAAAGTAGTGTAAACGATTCTAACACATGTGTTTACTTATATGTAGTTCAAATGTATGTTGTATAAGATTATTGGAAACAAGATGGTCCAGTGCTAGGACCAAGCGTTAGTGTTTATACCTTTTTTCTCATTCCCTCTCCTTACACTAACCATCTCTATATAGGCTACTTACTGCCTTTAGATATGTTTTGTTTGACTGTTTTCAATGTTTGCAGAGAATGCACTAGAAGTGGTTTCTGCAACTTCATGCACTTGAAGCCGATCTCTCGTGAACTGAGGCGTTACTTGTACAGTCGCAAGAAGAAGAGCGGCAGGAGGTGAGCGTTTTGTGAATCAATTTAATTTCAGTTTCAATTTTATGTAAGTATTACACATTGTTGTAAATTGGAAAGACTGCAATTAGTTTACACTATTTACAAACAAAGGTTTGAGATGTAAGATTCACAGTGGGCTTAAAACTAGACATTTTGCAAAGCTAAATTATTATTCTACATTTATGCTATATACCTACTACTAAGGTATCTTAGTTCTAACCTACAAAAAATATTTTTTTCCGGTTTCTGGATTTTATGTTACTGTGAGTAATTTTATCTAAAAATAGTTTTAGAAATCATAGTCTTAAGTAAGATGAATGGTGTGGAACATTTTTTATGTCGTGCTCCTTTGTTACTTAACTGTGTGAGCAAGATGAGATATATTACTTACCAGCAGGTCTATAATAAATGCTTTGTGGTTGGCTGACCAGGATTTGCTTTTAAATATTATAATATACAAGACTTACCGTCTTGAAGCATTCCAGTATTGTACTTAGTGTACATCTATTCGAAGAAGTGCTGAAGATGGCCTTATAAAGCCGAAACATCTGTACACCAAGTACAATACTGGATTGCTTCAAGACAGTAAGTCTTATATATTATAACTATAATGGATGGTTTACATTTAGAGATGTTTGGAGTTCTGTTTAAAAACAATCGTGTCATCATAAACACGTGTTGATGTGAAGTTCAGTCGAGGCTTTCATCAATGATCATATGTGATGTCAATAGTATCATATGTTTTGTTTTTTTGAACTTCACATTGAAAGCTGATAAAGGGTTTTGTTCGGTGTTTAACTAATTTTACATTACCCACAGCTCATGGTCTAAAGGAACCAGTTTAATACAAATACGTGCATGTCTAGTTATTATCTTTATTTTTGTCTTTTTTATTGTTTATTATGTAATGATCATTGTTTGGTTATGCCAGGTCTCGCAGTCGCAGCAGGGACCATGTTGGTTCTCGCAGGTCCCGCTCTCCACGTCCGAGAAAGGATCGCGACCGTCGTCGAGACAGAGAGGGACGTTCTGGTCGCTACTGAGGTAATTCAACCTACAGCCAAAAATGCCATTACAACATTGTGAATGGGTGTTAAACATTTAGAAATTAATGCTTATTATGGTGATGTAAAAATATTTAACTTATAATTTAGAGCAGCACCCTCAAAAACAAGCTTAATATATTTTGAAAATCAAATTTTGATGAATTTACTCTTTCTCTCTTTTTATGTCATACAAAGTTCTCCAGGGGACGAAATATTGCATATTTTCTGTGTCTTGTGTGTACTAAGGCATACCTGGATTATCTCAAAGTTGAGATAGCTGATATCCATTTATTCTAATTAACAATTTTGGCCTAGAACCTTTTCTTAACCAAACTTTTCTGATCGAATAAAAAAGTGTTTATTTTGTAATTATTGTATATCAACACTATTACTAAAACTTAACCTATGTAAACAATTACACAGACTTACTGTCGGTATAGGAATTTTTAAATACCCACGCCGCAGCAAACCTGCCGACTAAGCGAATTTCCATTTGTCTGAATTGATTTTCAGTGAAATATATTTTAATAACATTAGGTTTAACGAGTACCTAGGTTTGCTGCTACAAGGAAACTAATAAAGTGTGTTTATGAGTAAAATATGGATAGCTTAGTACAAAATAGGGCCTAAATAAATTTGCCAAGTTTGATCAAAATATATTCATAAACAAGCAAACTACAACATTTGACAATATTCTCCATAAGAATAACATGGGAATTTTAAATTTACAATTTTTTTAATTTTCTCCGTTACTAATAATTGAACAAAAATACTTTTATATACTAAATTATTTGTTTTTTAAGCTCTTTAAAAAGGTCTAAAGAGAAATTGGGAAATTTTGTGTTTTGAGGGTCAAAAGTGAGAAAAACCAATTTTTACCCCATAAAACCCCCCGTAGAGCCCCGTTCCCATGGTCCGATCGTGCTGGTTCGCGAACTCATTCAAGTGTATCCCGCTTTACACCTTTAAACCAAATTTCATCAAAATCGGACAAAAATTACTCAAGTTATCGCGTTCACGGACGTATATATATATATATATATATATATATGTCTATATATATATATATACATATATAAAAATTTGAACGAATAGTGTTTTTGGCCTCTGGGGACATCAAAATGAAAAAGTAAATCGGTCCCGGGTCTAGGTCTTACCGTGCCACCTACGGTAATAGCTACTTCCCTATAGGGAAATTCGCTAAAAGGAATAGAGTTGAGCTAACTTATCTGAGTAAATTGAGTCCAGGGGATAATATACAATAAAAGAACACAAAACATAACACTGATATTTCGTCCTGAGGAAGGACTTCTAAGAATATGTTGAAGATATAATAAACCTTCTAGCAGTTTTAGTTATTATATGAACAAACCATACCCCATACCCCTTCAATACCATACCCCTTGGTAATTTTATTTATTATAAAATTGAATGTATTAATAACCATTTTTTAAGGTTGGCTGTGACTAAAAAAATTCGATGAAGTTGTGTTGTATATCCGGACAAATCAGTATACAGTAGTCGTTAAATCACTTTATGACAGCTGTGTTGTTTAAATGTCAAAAGGTGCTGTTTTGACAATTTTTTTTTTTATATTTACACACTTTGTTTCAGGAGCTAGAAGACATGGGAGAAATCCTTGAGATCATACTATTTTACCAGAACTTTTGATTTTGTGAGTGTTAAAATATGTTTTATTGTATTGTCATTGTCTCAAACATAAAGAACTGTATAATGCCACTTGACATTCAGTGAATGATTTCTGGTTAGAATTTGAAATACATTTTCATTTCATACATATTTGTGTTGTGAACTATATTCTCCCCAATTTGTTTTCCCCGGTAAGAATTTTGAAATCAGCTTTTATCCTTTTCATATTCAAAAGTTTTTAAGTAGATGTATGATTGAATCTCATGGGTTTTCAATTTTCACATGTGAACAAAAATCTTACAATATTAATATTTTAAACTTTTAAAATATCTATGTACATACCTATCAATTACTGTATATGTTTATAAATATTTTTTTTAAATTGTAATACATTAGTGTGAGAATAACTTCAAAATAATGAAACTTTTTAATACTCTTTCCATTAATCTTTAAAACTCTTAATTGTGTCAAGTATCAGGAGGCCTCTAGCCCTGTCTTTATCTTTGTTGAGCCAGGCCTATATCAACATTTTTAATACCCTTGTATATTTTGGGTCTTTGATGAGCAAACAAACTTTAGTGATAACACATATATACCAGTTGAGGCCTCTTCTTTGACTTGCAAAATGGGAGGATTTCAGCGACAAGGTTTAGCAGCTGTTGCGGGTAATCTTTTATGAAATATATACCTAACAATATTTTTATTTTAAAACAATTTTCAGTCTAAATGTAAGCCAAAACATACTTGTTAGCAAGTATTGGTAATTTATTTTTTATTTTATAATATTATTTTACTATGAAATTGCCTGCAGTTGAAATGTACAATCTTATTGAGACCTGCAAACAATATTAAATAATTTTTATTTCCTAATTTTATTATTATATGTACTGCGGATTTAATTAATACTAATAAATTCAGATTTTAGCTCAAGTAATTAACTGTTTTCTGTGTGCTGTGTCTTTTAGAAATCTGGGTGACTAAACAATGTAATTGGTTGTTGGCAGTTATCAGAGATCTGATAAAAATGGACTAATAAAAACATTTAACATTTCCTTTCAAATTCATGTTGGATTACTTACTTGATATTTGATACCTGATGATGTCCCACTAGCATCGCTCCTGCGACGTGGTTGTCAAAATGGGTAGAAACACAATAATAGGCCTAATTGAACAGATCTTCTACTTTAAAATAGGCCACTTCACATAAATATTCCTTTAACATCTTCTTGAATTTATTGATATTCTGCTTTTGAATAATGTTCCTTGGTAGCAAGTTGTAGATCTTGACACTACTAAAATATGGGCTCTTGCAAGCCAAAGTTGAGTTAACTTGGGGTACATGTACTTGATTAGCTCTTCTCGTGTTGTACTGGTGGACCAGATTGTTTGTGAAAAAGATGTCCGGATTATTTCTCACCAATATGGCAGATTCTAAAATAAATAGTGATGGGAGGGTTAAAATTCCAAGGTCCTTGAACAGGGGCCTACTGTGAGCAAGACGTTGAGCACCACACATTCTCCTAATAATTCGTTTCTGGAGGAGAAAGATCCTATTGGCCATGGTACTACCTCCCCAGAACACTATTCCATAAGATATTATACTGTGAAAACATCCATAATAAACAAAATGTCAGTCTGGACCAATTTCTGGAGCCTAGTAATTAAATTGATTACAGATCTTAATCTTGAAGCTATTGAATTAATATGTACATCCCAAGTGGTGGGCTTAGTTTTTTGATTGGTTGCATGTATTTTGCAATGGTCAACAGTCAGAAGTATACAAATTATACTGGAATGGTGTCATTATTTACAAGTTGGCTCTTCAACTGATACTGTCCATGGTTTCTTCATTGCATCTTGAATTAGATTAAGTAGGCATAATCTAGTGATATCATCATATAATATTAAAATTGACTGATAAAGATTTTGTCAATTATGTCAAGGCTATTGTTATTTGTCAACATGAACAGATTGTTTTCTTTTTTTTCTTCGTGGCTAAATTAGTTTGTGACATGAAATGTTCAAAGGTTTACAGGTGAAGTAATGGTGTTTTAATTATTGACAGAATGGAAGTAAATTTCACAACAACTACACTAACTTTGATACTATTAGTGATTTATAAGAGAACACAGTTTATTTATACTTTAATACTTTTCATTGAAATGGCGACCATACAAAGTAGGTATTTTAAGCCAAGTATAATTTTGAAAAGTTTGATAACTGGGACTATACTCCGCGCGCGATAACTTTTCACTTGGGACTTGCACAACTTGGCAACGCTGCAGGGCTCGCTACCCCATCCTATACCTGTCACATATCGAGGCAAAGCGACAAGAAGCGGGCGCTCGCCTCGGCGGTGCGACGTTGCCGATACAAAATTCACACGGAACACCAAAAATCCCAAGTGCAAAGTTATCGCGCGCGGACTATAACTTCTACTTTTGAACAGTGTTTTCTTTACTAATCACTGGCAAATACTTAAATAATACAACCTTAGTTTGGGAATTCACTAATTAATTAAAAAAAATATTTAGGCTTTTAAAATACATTACTAGGGTGATTTAAATGCCAAATGTAGGATGTTTTGGCGTTTTAAAACTACGCCAGAGGTGTTGTCTAAAGAGAGAAACAGTTTGAACAAATCCATTACTCATTATTGACTAAAGTCTTTACTTTTTAAAACTATTCAGGTAAAACTGAATGAACACCGTTGGTTGGAAATTAAATAATATTTAAGTTTTCCACCTAGAAGGAGTACATTGCTACAACCAAGTGAGGTAGTCCTCTACTACAACACTTATGAGATATGATTGTTTGATTTGATTTGATAGTTGCAAGTGTTATGGCTCAATTGTTTAGGAGGGGCATTGAAGACAGTGTTAGACATGACAAGTTCAGTTAATTTAAACACAGCTTGTGAGTGAAAAATAAATGGAACATCTTAAAATTTGAGTGAGCACCATATGCTTAACGGCAGGTTCTAAACTTAAACACATACTATTAAACTACATTAACTAAAGGGTTTTTAATATAAACTGTTGAACTGCCGATTATAAATATTTATGGTTTCGTTTAGTAATGTGACCTGTTATTGGTAACCAATAAAACTATGCAAAAAACAATTTATGTACCTTAAGACTCACCATCGGCAGCATAAGAGAAAACACTTGATGTCACAGCAAAATAACTAATAGAGTGTAGGGAACAGTAGAGAGATTAATCAATAAACATGATATAGAATTAAACAATACAAGAGGTGTATTAGAGATAAGATTAGTAACTGTCATCACAAATCTATTGAGGACCTCAACCTACATTATAATGGGAGGATACGGAAGGCAATGTGCAGCAGCGCTCGCAGGTAGGTGTACAATGAGAATATTTTTTATCTGTGCAAACAATATTTTAATGATATGGATACAGGGTGTCCACATTCTGGAAAGTCAGGGATAGTCATGGAAAGTCATGGAAAAAAATTTTGGTCATTGAAAGTCAGGGAAATACGCAAGAAGTCATGGAAATTTCCAATTATGGATGGATTTGAGGGGACCATTCAATGCTCTAGTTGGCCGTAACCCCGACTGTTGTAGCATTTTTCACAAATGTTCGACAATTCAATTTATTACAGTTGTATTATTTTATGAGTTTTCGGTTTGTTTTAGTTCATTGTTGTACCTGTTGTACTCCATTGTTATCTGTTATTACATATTTTAGTATTGTCTGCAAAATAACATGTCCAGGCAGTATTATTTGTGTGTGTATGTTATATTATAATTTGCATGTAAAGTTCGTGAGTCATGGAAATCAATGGTAAATGGTCATGGATAGTCATGGAAAGTCATGAAAATTAATGACAATTTTTTTGTGGACACCCTGGGATACTGAATTTGTTTTTTTTAATAATATTTTTTGTGTGAAGGGGTACCCCCAAGGCAAATTTTCAAAATTTAAGTGTGAACTGACACATTTTTAGGCCGTTTTTAACTCTCTATTAATCACAGTTTAGAGGCAAAAAACTATGGTTTGACTTAAAAATATCGACAAACAAATATAAGAATTTTGAAGCCATTAAAATGTTTTTGTATTAACATAAAGATTCTTTGACCATAAAAATGTGAACGTAAAGATGTAACCAGCGTAAATCTTCTTGGTTTTTCAATTGATCTAAAACTTGCTTGGCATCCAATCAGTTTGTAAAAGAGTGTCCTGGGTGGTCCATCTCCTTCGGAAGTTGACTAGGATTGTCAGTGTATTTGCTTGTAGTATATCACCCTCTTTTCCATAGTATTTTAAGCTATGGTCTCCTACTCTGGGACCATGCACCAAAATGCCAAGAAACTCTCAATTACAGAAAAAACAGTACGTATTTTAATTTTTAGTAAAAGATTTGACCATTGTAAACCTCTGTTTGTCAGCACCGGAATTTTAACAATCTACAGTCAATACATTTTTATGTCAGCTGCCCATGTGAAGGCAAATAATCTTACTGTACATAGCCATAGTACAAGACATTGCTCTGACCTGAACATACCCTTCTGCAGGCTGTCAAAAACCAAAAACTCATTCCCAATGCTTGCCCTGAAGATTTACAACCAAAACCAAGAAGAAACAGCCTTTAGTTGTGTCTTGAAGAATTTGTTGAGACAAGTCATACTACAAGCCTACATGATTATCTAAATGAGAAACTTTAGTAAGCCTACGGCAAAATCATTCACTCCCTAAGTACTTATTTAAAAGTTTTCTAATTTCAATCTATGGAAGTTTTAGTGTACATATACTGTAAATATACTAAATTGATGCAACCTATCCGGCTCTGCTGGTCTCGGTCAAGGAGGAGGTAATAAGGGGGTTTGAATTAAATTATACAGGACCATTGAGTTTTTTACATAATGGCTGCAATGTAAGTTGTGCATTTTTCAAAAAGTCCATGATAATGAAGGCTTGGACCCGCCTTGACAGGGCTTTAGATTTGAAATTGACAGGGGAAGTTGAGCCATGATTCCATTGATGGTTTTTGGATTCAGGGGTGATATGAGATCTCCATGTTTCCTATTCAATTTGGACTCACACATTTCATGACCTTCTTCCTCGTAACACATAAAAACATTCAAAACACTCCCCAGCCATTTTCCTGTGTGGTCTTCTTTTTCACAGCCATTTTTAAACTCCCTTTAACCCAGTGCTTCCAAACCTAACCCACTAGTGGGTCGCGGACGGATTTTTGGTGGGTCGTGGGTTGACTCTTGAATCATAACATCGAGCTCAGACACCGTGCGTTACAGTAGCCGTACTTGATTTGGCAATGCGGCCTCCCCCCCACCCACACGACCGGTTTTCTCCCACTAGGTCTTGCTCTCTCACTCGCACACAGTTTCAGACTCGGCTCTTATTGGCATTGTCAGTCCAGTCTGGCAACTGCATTTCCTTGCGGTAGGAGTAATAACGGATGATAGTGGCTTGATACTTTTTCTTGAGTTGTTTTGTTTTCAAAGTAGTGAAGTAGTGTTTTGACTATTTACAACGATGGAGAATTGACTGAAAACTGGGTCTGTTAAGAGGAAACCGGAATCAACTGACGAAGGTGAGCTTAGTCGTCCTTCTACTAGCAATGACGTTAAAGAGCCACGAGTATCGTTAAATGTTAAGAAAGGGAAAAAATATTTCGAAAACATTGTCCTGAATACCTCCAATACGTTGAGGTACGTTTATTTACGTTTATAGGTACCGATGATGAACCTACGCCCCAATCCGTAATTTGTTTTGAAACCCTGGCTAATGAAAGTATGAAGCCTTCAGAACTTCAGGGGCACATTTCAACAAAAAATCCAGAATGCTTGAATAAACCTTTGACATTTTTTCAAAGTAAGAAAAAAGAACTGTTTTCAACTCGGTCGAATATGGAGAATGTGTGATCGTCTGATCGGGGAAAGATACCTAATAAACAAATTATCACGGCTTCATACCAGTTGCCTTTGCTAACCGCTAAAAATGGTGCTCCGCACACAGCAGGTGAGAACCTTATTTTGCCTGGGGCAAAAATAATTTTGTCCCTTCTGTTTGACGAAAAAGCTGGTCAACAGATAAGTCAAATACTACTGTCCAACACTACAGTGAAACGTAGAATTGACTAAATGTCTGGTAATGTAATGGAGAGTTTGCGCCTCAAAATTTCTAACTTTAATCCAGACATAGACTAGTTCAGTAAAAACAATGCCAAAAGTCACACTAGCCTTAGAGATGAAATATTTGTAATATCGAATAATCAATGAACTCCTTTCCTTTTTATCTATGCTGCATTTTTATTTCATATGATTGACCACACGTTTATTAATATAAATAAATAAATCATAAAATATATGTAATAAAAACATATGTAAATAGCGACTGGTGGGGGATGGGTCGTGGGAATAGATAAATATCCGAAGGTAGGCCGCCAAAAATAAAAGTTTGGGAACCGCTGTAGTGGCATAAACGTCAGTCATCTCTCGATGAATGACTGCAGTCAATATGTTTCTTTCAGTCAAAAAAGCATCCTTAACCATATCTCAACTGCGGTGTGAGATATAATTGAAATAAATTTAAGACATGGCTAAGCGTACACATCAGCTACCTAACTAAAAATAGCTTGACTCTGTTCACAAATGATCCCAGTAGCAGCGAGCCGCCTGGTTGTGGGGTACATGCGAACCATGGAGCTATCCACACAAATGGTCCTTATTACTTAAAAAATGTCCCTCATATTTAATTGTAAATGTAAAAACAGTAGGCTTAAATATATACCTAAACATAAAATTCAGATTAAAAATACCCTCCTTCTTCACCCTGTATTAAATCGCAATTTAAGCGAGCTAGCAAGCATTTTACCTACTAATAGTTTTTTATCAATAATAATTTTAATAACCTTAACATTTTTTCAGGGTCAATTGCAATATTCAGTACTGGTATGGCTTACGGATGGGTCTCGCCAGTACTAAACACAATCACCGATGAAAATGGAGAAATACGAGCTTCAAAAGAACAATATTCCTGGATCGCTGCTGATGTCGAGATCGGGTTTTTTTCCACTCCGTTCCTCGCAAGTTATCTAATGGACACGTTCGGAAGAAAAAGACCAATGTTGATTACTGTTTTGCTGTCACTTGTTTCGTGGACTCTGACAATCACCACAAGATCGGTAAATATTCTTTATTTGAAGAGGATCCTGGACGGCATGGTGGGAGGCGTGATGTTGACAGTTACTCCAGTTTACTTGGCAGAGATAGCAGAGGCCAGCATCCGTGGATCAGTGTTGCTATCAATCACTGTCACTTGGTTTGCCGGGACACTCGCACAGTTTTGTATTGGAACTTATCTGTCGTACAACGTCAGTGCAGCAGTCAACCTCATTCCTCCTCTAGCTTACTGTGTTTTGTTTTCCTTTCTCCCAGAATCACCTTATTACCTAATGATGAAGAAGGAAGATAAAAAGGCGGCCAAATCACTTTCTTGGTTTCGTGACATCCAAATAGATCAAGCGGCTAAAGAATTGACAGAGATCTCAGATTATCTAAAGCGAGATGCAGAAAACAAAAAGTCGTGGTACGATGTCATGGTGAACCCTATCTATAGAAGGTGCTTGTTTGTGGTGCTAGTAATAAGTTTAGCAGTGAATCTGACTGGTGTAACAGCTGTATTCGCATATGCTACAAAGATTTTTGCTGGCACGTCAAATGGCTTTTTAAATCCTGACATATGTTCAGTCGTAATCGCGTCTTTGTTTTTCGTAATTTCTATTCCTGTATGTTTATTAATTGATAAAATCGGAAGACGCCCTTTACTATTAATATCCACTACTGGATGTTGCCTTTCAAGTTTGTTATCTGCCGGTTACTTTTACTATAAAGATCAAATAGTTTATACTTGGATCCCACTGGTAACAGTAGGTTTGTATAGTGTTTTTGTGTCAGTAGGACTGAACCCTGTCACCATAGCTTTTCAAGGGGAATTATTTCCGTCCAGTGTGAAAAGTGTCGCATCCGGTATGGTGCAAGTGTTTCTCACCATCACATCATTCGTTGGTATTAAAATGTTTTATTTAGTAGAAAGTTATTTTGGACTGTACGTCAATTATATTATTTACGCTGTTGTAGGATTTGTAGCATCAATATTGCTATACATTTACGCCCCAGAGACTAAAAACAAAACTTTCAACCAACTGTTGGTAGAGTTGCAGGGAGTTAAAGTAAAAGATGAACTGCAAGAAATGGAGGAATTAAAGAGTTTGAATCAAGTAACTTAGAGATATGGTAAGGTATAACCCATAACCATACCTATAATACAGGGCCAAGATGAGACAAAAGTGGTAACACACCACTGTCCCAGCAAACCAAAACAACAGTTGCACTAATTTTAATTTACAATACAGTAGAGCATATACACAGTGTTTTTGTTATTGTATACTGCTATTACCAAACCTTTGCTGTTGCTAAAGACCAACACTGTGCCTTGTATTAGAGGAGGCTATGCCTTTAGGCTTGGATTTTTTTACAGTGATGTAAATTAAAATTATTTGTCAATAAAATAGTTTCTTACTTTTTTGTACTTCTTGTAGTTCTTACTAGAGCCTAACAAACAACCTAATGTTAGTTTAAATACCCCCGCTGCAAAAACCTGCAGACTAAGCAAATTTCCATTTGACCGATTGGATTTCCAATGAAATCTATTTAAATAACATTACATTTAACAAATTACCTAGGTTTGCTGCTACAGTGGTAATAAAGTCAAGATTTTTAGTAAAATATCAATAGCTTAGTGCAAAATTATTTACTTTTCAAAATTAAGTTTTATCAAAATATACCTGTAAACAAAAAAAAACACTACAGTTTACTTATTCTTCATAATAGCAAGGTAAATTGATAGAACTAGATGGCTCATCTCTGTGTTAATGTTGTCATTATTTTAAATACCGGCACTTAATACTTTTACTTTGAAATGGCGACCATATGAATGTAGGTATTGTAAGCCAATTATGAATGGAGATGAATGTAGTACTGTAGTAAGAGTGACGCAATCTTGTAGGCGACATATTCCTTAGACACAGCTGTTAATTACTAGCTCATACAGCCAATGGCAACCAAAGGGACCTACCAGCTTATAGTGGAATCTGAACCACATTTTTGCTTTGTAATTAACGAATTGGTCTAATTATCAGGATAGTACTGCGGATAGTCACTCACTAGTGTGAACATTAATCCACACCAGGGAGTATCGCATAAACAGTGCATGCCTATAAATATCCACAATTCCCTCAGTAGCTGGATTACAGGACGATACCACTTTCCCAGTCATATAAAATATAAAAAATACGTAGTTAGTGAGCCACCGACATGTTACGCTGATTTAAATGACTACCTTCTGTCGAATAAGGTGACTTTTTAACCGAGTTATACTAATAGGACGAGACGACTTACTGTAAATTATGTCTTCCCTTACTCAAATCTTGTCACAATCTCTACAAAAGTGTATAAAGTCACTTTCATTAAAACTTTGCAGTCAAAACATAGTATGACTTAGTGTGCTGCTAGTCATGGAAATAGTCATTCTTTTATTAATCTGAATAAATTTAACCACAATTAGCATATTTTAGTGTCAAGCAACACTATAAGGCATGTAAATTTAGCCTAAAACCTGATAAATCTGCTACAATTTGATTAATGCAGGTTTCATCTCTAAGAAGCCCTATTATTTTGTTAATAAATGAAGATGTGATGTGAAAACTGTTCAAACTTTCATTTTATTAACATTATACTCAAATTATGACTTTTTATGATGGGAGACAACTTCCTTTGGATCACTTTTTTTCAAACAAGTGCATTAAATTTATTTGAAAAGATATTGGTAAATGATGTAGCGATCATGGTATATGTGTAAGCATGGTTTGATCAGCAGAAAGTAGAAGAGCTCAAGTAGACTCACGACACTGAAGCCAAGAAAGAACGACAATAGAGACCCAAAAGACCCTGAAATAAAGAAATGTAGCTTAAAAATTGTGCAATGACAATCATGATTGGATTATCATTTGAGAAATAAAACTGTTACATATTTCAATTGTTATGTTATATAGTAGATGAAATATGAATGTAAACATGCCTATCAGTTATCAATTGGTGCAGTATTCCATAACGAGTGGAAACTTTGATACAGTACCGACCCAGAATTTGAGAATAGATTAACAACTATTATATTAAAAATATTTATATGGCCAAAGAAGAATTGTAAAATTAATTATTGCTTTTTATTTGAGTTTATATTGTCTTATAAAATCCACCATGCTGTAAGGACAAATGAAGAAAACATAATTGTTTCTTGTTTTAAAATAAAACTAAATCTTTAGATGAAGAATTCCGTTTAATGAGCTACAAGTAAGTTTGTTTACTAAAACATTGTTTACAAAAAACAACATAATAAGGTACTTTCCTGTTAAAGGGAACATTCATTATTATCGATGATTTTTTCGATATATCGATATTTTTGTTTACCGATCCATTACATATTGACAACGGATCAAGTTTAGGCTCAAATAGTCTATTATATGGATTAAGAAATTAAACTGTTCTAAGCTAACCTAACATAACCAACCAAACTTGCTGTACTATTTAAAAATTCCTTTTGATAACAGAAAAGGCAAGTTAAACATGGAATGTTACACAGCAACTTTAGTTATGTTAGGTTATTTTTTTAGAACAGTTTCATTTCATTATGGTTTGTTGATACTGAACAATATTTATCGTAGTTGTCAGCTGATATGTTTCAATTTGTTAATATCGATATATCGAGAAAAAATCATCGATAATAATGAATGTTCCCTTTAACAGGAAAGTACCCATAATAATAATCAAGAACCATATGACTTTATAGTCAGTCATATGTCAATAATCTTTTTTGCAATAACCTCATCATTTTTACTTTCTCCCCCTATACCATAGTATATGGAGAAAGTATTGTTTTCGTCAAAATTTTCGAGTTTGAGTTTTGAGTGGATATATTCGTTTTGGGTCCCCTTGGGCCCAAAAAAGTGGTTTTCGAAGTGATGTCTGTGTGTGTGTGTGTGTGTGTGTGTGTGTGTGTGTGTGTGTGTGTGTCTGTGTGTCTGGATGTGTACAGAGCTAGGGACTACACCTGTGGCCCGATTTCGATGAAATTTGGTATGTAGGTTCTAATCCATGGTATCTCCAGGCGTTTTTTTCATTTTTTTGAAATTTTGATTTTTTATGGGGATTTTTCCATAAAAACCCATAAAAAAACGGAAAAATCGAATTTTCTCAAAAATGGCCTGAACGATTTCGATAAAAATTTAGTATGTTGTAGCCCTTTAAATTCTGAACAAAATGGTACAAATCCCATTTCTCTAAAAATTATGGTTCAAAAGTTATGGTAAATTATGTTATTTTCCCATAAAAACCCCATAAAATAACAAAAAATTGGATTTTAGAAAAAAATCCAGTTTTTATTTAACATAGTATGTTATGGTCCTTACAACTTTCATAGTTTTTTTTCAATTTTTTAGAAATTTTGATTTTTAATGGGGATTTTCCCATAAAACCCTATAAAATAACGGAAAAATTGGATTTTCCCAAAAACGGCCCGAACGATTTTGATAAACATTTAGTATGTCATAGTCCTTTATATTCTGAACAAAATGGTACAAATCCCATTTCTGTAAAAATTACCGCTCAAAAGTTATTGTAGATTATGTTATTTTCCCATAAAACCCCCATAAAATAACGGGAAAATCGGATTTTAACAAAAATGGCCCGAACGATTTTGATAAAAATTTGTATGTTATAATCCTTTAAATTATGATCAAAATTATACTAATCCCATTTCCGTATATTTACTCTCACCTTACACATGATAAAGGTTGTTGACAAACTTATGGGAGAAAGTATGTGTCAGAATGCTGATACCGTTTATTATAAATTTGTGTAGTATTCCCAGGTAATTGCACCTTGTACTACAAACCTCTTAATCCTAAACCTCAAATAACGATATAGGTTTACCTTATGGTTGCCAGGTTCTTGAAGTTTTGTCTGATGAATTTTTGATGAATGAATTATTGTTTTAGCCTGGTGAATATGTATCTACTTTAGTGACATCATCAGAAGCAAATTACACTACACTATTTATTTTCAATCTTTACGGCCAAAACTATATAGAGGTAGTTGAAGGGCGACGGACAATGAGGGGGATAAAAGCCCGGGTGAAAAAGTGTGTCTGTGGACTTATGATATAAATCACATTTTTATAACTTCTAAAAAAGATTCATAATAGTAAGTAGCTTATATAATAACATTCTATTTATTTACCAAGGAGTGAAGTAAAGGATGTGTACACATCCCTTCTCAGACGAGTAGCGATCAGATTCCGAGGGAATACGTACATCAAACTGTACTCTCCATTGGACAGGTTGAGGCCTCGACTGTCAACAAAATTGTGCCTCACATTTTAACAGGGTTAAGTTTTTAAGCACCCAAAAATGTTACTATTCTAATTTTGTTTGAAAACTTGAGGTAGCCATAAATATTAAACCAGGTATAGATATAATGTTATCAATTATCATCACCATTAATATTTTAAAATTACAAATCAAAGGTAAAAGGTACTAAGTAAAATAATTAAGTACAACTTTCGGCTAAATGCTTGGTTTGAAGTTAATTTTTGGTGACGGTGAGTTTATGTTATCTAGTAGATTATTGCTGACATTTTACATTGCTATTTGTAAAAAAAAGCCTTAGGACTTGAGGAGGGGTGTCCTGAGAACAGGATCGGGTTCCAGATCCCGAAACTTTTTAAAATGGTTTTTCACTAATCCTAATGGAAAATGTCTGCAGTAATGTGTTAGACTTACTAAAAGTAAGTGGAGGTGTCGTAATGAGTGAAGTTGAGTTGGCTGCGGCTAGTGTCAGCTGAGTACTGGGTGTAGTAGCACCTCGGCTTGCAACCACACGGTGTCGGCCACTTGGTCCTTAGCTGCTGAACGTCAACATGTGTGAACTCATCACTCAGCATGTACGAGTTGATCAGGGCTGTCAAACAACAGTTACTGTAGACTGTACTGAGTGTAGTAGCACCTCGGCTTGCAACCACACGGTGTCGGCCACTTGGTCCTTAGCTGCTGAACGTCAACATGTGTGAACTCATCACTCAGCATGTACGAGTTGATCAGGGCTGTCAAACAAACAGCAGTTACTGTAGACTGTACTGAGTGTAGTAGCACCTCGGTTTGCAACCACACGGTGTCGGCCACTTGGTCCTTAGCTGCTGAACGTCAACATGTGTGAACTCATCACTCAGCATGTACGAGTTGATCAGGGCTGTCAAACAAACAGCAGTTACTGTAGACTGTACTGATTGACGTTTTGTTTGAAACTATTTTTGGTACTTTCCTGTTAAAGGGAACATTCATTATTATCGATGATTTTCTCGAAATATCGATATTAACAAATTGAAACATATCAGCTGACAACTACGATACATATTGTCCAGTATCAACAAACAATAATGAAATGAAACTGTTCCTAAAAAAATAACCTAACATAACTAACCAAACTTGCTGTGTAACATTCCATGTTTAACTTGCCTTTTCTGTTATCAAAAGGAATTTTTAAATAGTACAGCAAGTTTGGTTGGTTATGTTAGTTTAGCTTAGAACAGTTTCATTTCTAAAAATTATATAATATACTATTTTAGCCTAAACAACATCAGTTGTCAATATGTAATGGATCGGTAAACAAAAATATCGATATATCGAACAAATAATCGATAATAATGAATGTTCTCTTTAACAGGAAAGTACCCTATTTTTTTCAATTTGGTATTCAAATTTCTTAATGAACAAAAAATGAAGTAGTTACTTTTGGAGACTTAATATTTAAAGACAAACAAAAATATTATAAGCCATTCATCTGTTATTTGCTTGGCGAGTTTTGTCGTTGCAAACGGTTTTTTAACTCATTACGAACATATATCTGTCTAACATATCCCATCATTTGTTATTTTAGCAAGCGAAATTCCAAAATTGTTGATCTAGGACTCTTTTAAATACAGTAAGATGTATCTCATATTTTTGTGTAGTTACAATAACTCGGAATACCAGGGGAAGGTGACAACTGTTTGTATAATTTTACTACCGAAATACAATTTTTTTTAAGGGATTGTAAAGGAAACATAACGCAAAAAAGTATTGAACTGATTATGTTTCTAATGACTTATTGATAGATAAAATAAGTAATTCACTTTTTAATTACCTTGATGAGAAGCTAAGCACGGCAAGTCATTTAAGTCACACACCCTATCCATATCTGGAAAATTAACAAATCATTGTAGATGAGACGATAAATTTTAAAAGTTTAATGAATACAGAATGTGAAACTTCTTCTAAGCAAACCTGTTCATAAAAATAGGTGTTTTCTCAATAGGACAGGCCTACATCCGAATGGTTATTGCAGTATTATGATATAGTTTTTTTTTTTTTTTTTTTTTTTTTTTTTTTTTTTTTTTTTTTTTACTCTATTCCTTTATTCGTGTTTATGTTAACTGTTATTGTACGTGTCATTTTAAAATTCTATGACGACATTTTGATCAAATGTATCTCAGATCTATATCTAAAATAGTTGGTGAATCAGCCCAATCTGGTAAGGGAAGTGGGAGTTTGTACCTCTATAAATATTTATTTTTTGACCTTTTTGTTCAAATAAATTTAAGATAAAAAAATACTTATACCAATGTCCAAACGAGACAGACATTTCTACTCCCAGTTGGTGTTCTACTGTATTGACTTTAGACTGCTGCAATATGTTAAATTGTTGTAATACATGATGCAAACGACACTAACTGGTTGTGTAGTATGTAGTGAGAACACATCCGCAGTATCTCTCCGTGATGTTGATCTTGCATTCCTCCAGACAGTTGTGATAGGTGTACAACTTGAAGTAGGCCAAACTCACCTGTAATTGAACAAACCAACAGATCAGGAATCATATGAAGATGAATCATAAAAGATGGTATGTGGCGATCGATTTTGGTTGGAAACTCCAATCATCATCAGATCCAATAGGCGAATAACAACCTCGATGGTACCCCTACTATTTTATACTATTGGTTACTGAAAGTTCCAATAACAATACAAGTAAACTAAAGAAACTAATGAACAAGTAAATTTTGACTCCAGTTGTACTTTTAGAAACTTCTTACGTGGAAGTTCTAGTGGGGAAATTTGCTAACAGGTAAATTTTAGAAGAAAATGTGTCTCACCTCGTTTTCAATGACACAATCTCTCAAGCTGGTGTCGAGAGCCTTCACCTCTGCACTGGTGGTGGTGAGCGCAGGAGTGTATGACACCATGATGAGGGTAGAAGGAGCGACCACGACTAGACGAGCTGTCTCTGAGATGTAGCTGCGAGGGCGACTGATCAGTAACTGTCAACACAGACCACAAGCATAATGATAACAGCAGTGTAATCATTATGCTTCAGATTAATGGACTTGGCAAAAGTATAAAGTGAATTTATTTTCTTTAACTAGGTTTTAGCCCAGGATGTTTTTTTTTTATATTACTTCAGATTAAGGCGGCTAAGAGGTAGTTACTTAGAGATTATTACTTATTACTAGAAAAAATACATCAGTTATGAGGGATTTCAGTCGGGACCAAAGTCCCACGCTCTAACACTAGATCAGCTCGCTCCACTAAGTACTAAGTGGGGAGCGAGCTGGCGTAGTGGTTAGAGCGCGGGACTTCAGTCCCTGAGGTCCCGGGTTCGATCCCCGCCAAGTCACCAATGGATTCATCTAAGTGATAATGCCGCAACCCCTAGGTCTAGCCTGAAGTAATGTGAAAAACAATCCCAGGCTCGTGCCTAGCGTCCTAGGACAAAAAAAAAAAAAAAAAAAAAAAACTAAGTACTAAGTGATACTAGGTTAGGTACTCAAAATACTGAAGACGGACAAGGTATGTTAACCTTTATATTCCAATTTAACAGTCTTGGTGACTTGTACAGGAATCTCAGCCATCTTAAATCTTTATTTGGATCATATTTGGATTAAAATAACCCTTAAAGAGGTTATTATGCCCCATTGGCTTTTAAAGTTCCCATGTTATACTTATAACATATACATATTTGTACATATTTATACATATTTGTTTAAATTATGATCAGTTGGATAATTTAATGGGTGTTAATATTTTAGTTGCAGTTTAAGGAAACGTGTGCTACAAACATTTACTGACTTGGGCAAACGTTTTGTCATGACGTCGTGACAAAACGTTTGTCCGTGCCGCGTCGTGTGTGGAACTAGTTCCCGAATTTTATGTTAAATCGTATTCGTCCGTCAATGTCTTGTGTTTTATTTATTTAAATGTCATTGTTTTGTGTGTTTGTAAAACTCGACGACCTCGCAAGAGTGACAAGAGCCTGATGATGAGGTTATAACCTCGAAACCGGTGGCTCATTACTACAAATTTTAGGATCATAGACGGAAAACAGATAATCTTATACCATATTAATTTTCAAGAAGCGTCCTGGACCAAATAACATCATTATGAAGCAAGCATTGACTTTTAACTTACTTTGGTACCATAGGAGGAGAACATCGTGGCGTGATAGTCGTTCTTGTCAGTTCTCACGAGGATTACAAGTCCGTCATCACTGCCTGTTGTTGCGACACTTTTTTCTAAAGGATGTGGACCATTCTCTGTCTCCTCACTGTTCATATCAGTTACGAAATTGCGTAATTGAAACCAAGAACTTCATTAAACTTATTGTGTGTTAACTTACTTGTTACATAACATTGCAGTGGGCATCTATCAATATATGCATATATGCAGTATCAGTAAAAAAACTAAGAAAACTTGACACATGTGTGCTATGGTTTAGTATGAGTGGTGAAAATTAATATTTATTGATAATTCACAATGCATGTTTAAGAGGTATGATGAGTAACTAGTCTCATACTATTTCTTATACTACTTAGTCTTATACTAATTAACGTCGTTCCCAATCTACTTTTCCATAAATTCTAAATGTTTTTCAGACCCATAGTGATTGTTCCCACACTGGAAAATTGACAACTCACCGAGTTTGAGTAATAAAATATAAGTATTGCGGTTGAATATAACACTATTATAAATAAAAGTTTTAAAAGAGATTTCAAACGAGTGTTCCAACTTACAATGAGCTGTTGTGATCTCCAATGTAGTTGAAGGCGCAACAGTAGCCCTCGAATGTCTTGACCATACGGAACATTTTGCGACAATCTTGAGTCTTATCTTGCCAAGCACATCTTACAATCAGCTCATCACAAGGTACTGCAAGCTGACAAGGTCAGTTATCTACTTATTGCTGTCTACGTAAATTCTGATGTATCTCCTATTTCCCTTGAGAAAATATGAGGGCAACCTGTGAATTAGTCTCCATCGAGTTCCTGACACAGCAAAGTGAGCTAGTTAAAATCTGAGAGACCAAAGCCACATTCTTTACTTCATCACGTACTCTTTTAGCTGGCTCCCATCCCTGGGGACAATTTGTCTCATTGTAGTATTCTAAAACATTTAAGAGAAAATTGATGCTTCCGTCATGTATAAAGGTTTCCGTTTATGATAAGGTTCTTGTAGAAAGGACTAGCCCTAGGGTTGATTACTATTGCTAGTTGACAGATACATGCAGAAAATTGTTTTGGTGTATGAATATTGTTTCACTATACTTGCAATCAAAAGACTAAACTAGGGACCGTTTTAAGTACTGGAAGCAAACAAATTGGGTACTTACTTCCTTCATCAGCGTTTCAATTGACACTTTATTCAGAAAGAGGGTGGTTTTCAAAGCGTTTGGTGCTAAAAATGCACTTCTGCCTCGAAACATGGCAATAGGTAATAATCGCATCTCTTCAAAGACTTGGTCCTTGCTTATGTTTCGAGGAAATGTCCTAGTAATGATAAAAAACATTTAAATTAAAATTTAAACCCCAGTTCATGTAAAAATCAAATTTCGGCATGATTTTAAGCTCAGAGAATAGATTTGAGATTAATAATAATAGTGCCCCAAATGAGGAAGGTATATTTTTGTGGCTGAAGCAGTTGGTCTATGAGCCTTTACAAATTGTTTGCATGATGGAAAGTAGTCATTACAGTTACATACAAAAATAAATCACAGGGTTCTTTATTGGTCTAAATTAAGTAAAGTTTTAGATTAAAACATTGACTATTAGGTTAATTTAAACATAGACACATATTTAAGACTTAATAATAATACCTATGATAAGTATACTTTCAGTATCCCCAAAGCCAATGCTACATTCATTTTAGAAACAATTAAAGTTAAGAATATAAAATGTCAATAAAGGCTATATTACAAGCTCCTAGCTGGCTTTGAAACAGAGCTCGTAAACGTACACTACTACAATTGCTCACTCAATAGTCAATAAAAGAGTTTGAGAAAAAATATGTCTCTGTCGGTGACTTTACACACAGTCTTTACTCAAAGACTTTTAAGCACACTAGATAGTAAAATATACGGTAACCAAACAAATTACAGTAATGTTGAATAGTGTCCTCACTATAGACTTGGTAAGGTTTTTGATCTTACCAGTTACCAAGAAGTCTAAGTGCGGCTCTCCGGCTAACCAGGTTGAAACTGCAGGCGGTCACCGCAGGGAAATGTACTTGTCCTATAGGGAATTGCATTGTGTCAATGTTGGCAACGGTTTTATTGTTGACGGTGAAGTCCAAAGCTTGCCATAGCCAGTAGGCTGTCAGACCCACTGCCACAGTCATTGTAACCACCCATATGAATCTGATAAAAGATCATACACAAGAACTACTTCAATTTATTATTAAACCTAGCCCAAGTCTAACTATAAATGTAGGTTGTAGACATTCACAATTGGAATATTTTTAAATTAAGAACAAGAATTCAAAATGGAGAAATTACTACCTACAAGGATTCCATTGTTTGTTGCTGAGTGAAATTCAATTATGGATATGCCTAGTTTACTCTCAGATAATTCCCATAACTGCTTTTGTTAGCATCTAAATAAAATGTGTCATGTTTATCTTCTAGGGGAATATCATACCTTACATATAAAAAAAACCTGAATCCTAACTAATAAAATAAAATAAAAACAATACATTAAAAAATTACATATTTAACTTCACTCGTGTGATTTGTTTTGGTTAGCCCAGTTAAATTCAGTACCATAGTTCAATGTTAATAAATGTTGTTACTTTGAAGCAGAGATAATACCTTCTATGGATAAAAACTTATCTTTTGGAGGGATATCAAAATTTTTGATTAAAAAATAGAATATCTGAAAAACACCTTTGCTTGGAAGTTATTTTCTTGCTAACAGCATATTTGAATCCATGAAGAGAAGTGTTCTCTGAGAATTTTTTCACCTGAAAAACGAATAATTTATAAGGAGGCTCTAATGGTTTGATAAATAAGTTTGGACTATCTAGATATTTGACAATTTTTCCCAAAGAAGATAATGTTAGCACTAGTTAGTTAGTACTTTTTGTCCATGGTACTTTTTGCTTCAAGATATTAACCAAATAATTTATCAGACCACAACCATAAAAGACTAATTTTAGGCTACCGGTCACTTGGTTTTTGTGCACAGTCACCTTTCAGCAACATTCACAACAGAATGTTGAATGTAATGTTGTCCTAACATTTAGAATACACATTTTTAAAATCTGCCATAACAATTTAAGAATATTGCCCAAAATAGCATCAAATGACTGTAACTAAAATTTTTTGCAACTAAGAACTCAGGTAATAATTGAAATTCACACAGATATTTGAGCACTAATTTATTAAGCTAAAAAAACTTTCTAAACTAAATACAAAAATTAAGTCTTACATTCAGTCTTACAAACATCGAGTGAAAAAGTGACATAGCACATCAGGACTTAACACACTAAAAATACAAAGGAGGAACATAAACGTGAAAGTTAGAGAACAGTAAAGTTCAAAACATTATTGAATTCATTGCTTGAGTAGTTTTCTTCAAGTTTAACTCTCCATCTTTTCGCCATTCTGTTCAGCAGTTGGAGTCTTGGGAGCCTGTTTCACAGCTGGCTTGTTGGTCTGGGTGATAGGAATGGAGATTCCTTTGGCAGTGTCCTTCTGCACCTTAGGAGCCTCGAGTTGCAGCACTCCGTCAGAGGACAAGTGTGACTTGAGAGCCTCCCTGTTGACATCAGCTGGGAGCTTGTATCGGCGGGTGAACTGGCGTGATACGAAACCGTGTTCGTCGCTACGTTCCTCATGTTTACCTTCGATGACAATGAAATCATCGACTATCTTCACACTCAGCTCTTCAGGACGGAACTGCTGCACGTCCAAGTTGATCCTGAACGTGTCCTTGTCGCTGGCAATGCAGGATGTGCCGCTGTTGAGAGCTCCGCTAGCAGTGCGCCAGGGCCGCATGTAGCCGGATCGCAGTGGCATGGACAACACAGACACCTCGGGCTGGATTAGGTCACTCGGCAGCAATCCGAGACCGAAGTGCTGGTCGTGGAGCGAGGGCCTCTGTGCCTCCTGGAGCAGGTCATTCAGCAAGTATGGCAGGATCGACATCTGAAACATTTTCATTCTATTTTAGAAATACTTACAACTTTTTTGTTCAGTGGCACAACACTTAAACACTACCGATTACTTGGATGGCAACCGCAACTTATATGATTCTTGCCTAACTGATAGTTAAAATAGCGTACTTAGTTAGAGACGTAATAGATTATAATAGATATAGTTAAGACGTAATAAGATTCCTATTTACCAAACAAATCTCCATCAATGTTTGTTATAGGCCTACTAGTCGATTAAAATTGACACTCGTTTTATTGGGTTACCTTGTGCCCCAAGTCAACAATATTGACTGAGTGTGATTGTGTAAAGATGTGAATTTAACTTTCTCATGGGTTGAGAATATTAATTACCGTACCATAGTTCCTGTACCATGTTTTTCTTCTATATAGTAGATAGTAGTTAGTTGTGACCCAAGAGAACTATTAAGTTAATACAGTGCAGTCTCTAATAAGTTCTAGTGGGCTGAAAACCTTCTGAGGTGTTTTTAGGACTGATTTAAGCCTATGTTAGGTCTTATTAATTTTGTACTGCTAATGTGTAAATCACCTCAAGCAAAAAACACATTTCTCTATATTTTATTTAGTTAACTTAAATAATTTATTATTCAATGATCAAGCACAAAGCAATTTTTTTGGGTTTAACACTAGATCAGCACTTGAATTGGGATAAACATGTCCACAAAATTTTAAGTAAAATTAATTCCGGAATTCATGCTTTATCAAGTATGTCTTTTTACTGTGACTTAAAAACTTAAAAAAATATATATTTTGCACATGTACATTCACATATCACGTTTGGCATAGCACTCTACGGCTCAACAAAAATATGTAATCTAGATAGCATTTTAAAGGAGCAAAAAAGAGCGGTTAGAATCATGCTTAACCCTTTGCGATCGGAATGAATATTTGCCGTCATTCCTCAGCGGTCGCGCGGCCAGCTCTACTGGCCGCCGCCATTAGCGCACAGAAGTCGGATTTATTTCCACAGCAGTTGTCCTTTGCGATCGGACGGCCAGCGGTGCTGGCCAACATGAAATCCAACGAACACTCGGGCGTCCAGGAGGACTGGCCAACAACATTGTTTTCGTTTGTAATATTCCAAACTGTGTTATGATGCCTGTATAGTGCTGCAACCTAGTGAGGAATTAATAAACTAACCGATCAGCAGGTTTGCAACATTATATAGCAAAATTTGTGGTGGCAACAACAAAAATAAACACCTGTTGTTTTGGCAAAAGTGCTGTCATAACAACCGTTGTTTTGGTTCAGTTTTACAATTGAGTTTTTGGTTATTTCCTCGACAGATTTATGTTTATTTGTAGTTTTAATCTAGTTTAAAGTTTTAATGTAAATATAAGTTGATTAAAAGAACATTTGTACATATACTACGTATACGCGCTACACTTTTATAATAGTTAGGCCTACAATACAACTGTTTTATCTCTTATAAACATTTAGACGTGTGAATTGGGTTATGTTTGTTATTATTCCAAGCCTATATTTAAGTAAGTAATTATGGACGACCGTTTAAGATCAGACGAATTGAGAGATTTATTGTTTGCCGACGAAGAAGATGCTGATGATCCCGATATTTATTATGGATCCGACCACGAAAGTGACGTAAATTCAACTGATTTAGCTGCAGAGTATGAGGACTTGGTTTTTGAAGAAGTTGATGATGGATATGAAGCTCAAGAAAATTTTGAAGAGGACTATGGAAGTGATGGAGGTCAAGTAGCCTATGTGGAATTTAATGGACATTTAACCACGGAAGCAGTACACGAAAGTGGAAATAATGATGGCATGGAAGTTGAAGAGATTAATGGTGAAGGTGCCCAAGGGACAAATAATGAAGAAGGTATGGGTGTGTCGGGACAGTGGAAGGTATGGTCTGAAGGGGATAATAATTTTAATAAGTTTTCGTGGAAACATGATAGTGGTTATAAGCCACCAAATGACCAAACGCCAACAACACCTTTGGACTTTTTCCAGCTTTTTTTCACAAATGATTTAATGTTGGAGATAGTGAAAGAAACAAACCGGTATGCTGCAGAAAAGATACAGAAGAATACACCACTCCAGAAGAAATCCATCTGGCTTTCGTGGAAAGACCTTACGCTGGAAGAGTTGAAAGCTTTTTTTGGACTCATAATTAACATGGGGATGAATGAGAAACCAGAGATAGGTGACTACTTTTCAAACAATTGGGTTGACTACCAACCATTCTTCAAAGATGTGTTCAGTAAGGAAAGATTTTTACAAATCTTCTGGAATCTTCATGTCTCCCCACCTCCATCTGGCCGCGTAGCTGGGACATTAACTCGATCAGGAAAGGTAAGAAATGTTGCTGCATACCTCGATAAGAAATTTAGAGAGTATTTTGTCCCACAGCATGAAGTAAGTGTAGACGAAAGTATGATTGGGTTCAAAGGAAGGATCCTATTTAAATCCTACAACAAGGACAAACCCATTAAATGGGGAATCAAGGTTTTCGTCTTGTCAGATTCAACTACGGGCTATATTTGTGCCATTGAACCATATTTTGGTAAAACAACCACAGATCGCTTGATTAGGCCTGATTTAGGAGCTACAAGTCGTGTTGTTTTACACCTAGTGGACAAACTTAAGCAAACACTGGGAGATGTTGAAGGGCTTCACGTTTTCACTGACAGATTTTACTCCAATCTTGATTTGGCAGAGGCACTATTAGCATGGAAAGCCCATACAACCGGCACTATCATGCTACACAGAAAAGGATTGCCGGAAGAAGTGAGACCAGCTAGGCCTAAAAAGGACAAAGCGAAAAAACAAACAAACAAGAACCTGCCTAAACCTAAGTTGAAATTAAAAACTGGGGAAACAAAAATCTACAGAAAAAATGATGAAGTGTCTCTTCTGTTGTGGAAAGACAAAAACTTGGTGGCTATTTTAAGTACACTGTTCGGTGATAACTCTACCCAAACGGTTAGGCGCTACAAAAAAGGGGGAGTAGGGGAGTTAGTAAAAAAACCTACTGCAGTTTGTGAGTATAATAAACATATGGGTGGTGTGGACATCGCAGACCAGTACATTTCCTCGTACTCATTTACAAGGAAATCCCTGAAATGGTGGAGGAAAATGTTCTTTTGGCTTTTGGAAACAGCAATTGTAAATTCCTTCATTCTATACAATACCAATCAAGAAAGGAAAAATGTAGTTCGCCAAAGACGTTACAGAAAAATGTTGATTAAAGAACTGGTCGGAGAAGTAAGAAATGTCCGAAAACGAGGAAGACCATCATCTTTAGTCGAGGACGAGCGACTGAATGGAAAACTTCATCTGCCCTATCCGCTTGAGGGAGGTAAAACAAAGGACTGTGCGGTGTGTAGCGATAGAAGACCAGGAAAAGAAAGAAAAAGGTCAAAGTTTTTTTGTAAAACTTGTTCTAACAATCCCGGACTTCACATGGGTGAATGTTTCGAAAAATATCATTCAGTGAAAAAAATCCGAGACGATTAAAGAGAACTTTCAACTCATTGTTTGTATGAGTAGCCTATATACGTTCATTTTACACCTTTAGTAAATACGTAATATCAAAGAATTTTCATTTTCAAACAAATGTATGTATATATTCAATATCTCTTCTGTTTTTTTTACTTAATAAATCAGTTGTCAGTATAACATTACGATTGTTTTATTACAATTTATATCCCCTATGCTAACATTGCAGGTTTTCAGTAAAAACAATTCCGAGCTGCTGGGAGCGAGCCGCCATGATGAATGCCGAGGGGGCGTGTACTAGGACTTGGCCAGTACAGCTGGCCGCCCGACCGTTGGAACCAAGTCAGTACGGATTGAATTCCGACTGGCTGCAGACTGCGTTGTGGCCACTCCTGCTGGCCTTCCGATCGCAAAGGGTTAAGCTGCAGCATGATGAGTCAGCTAAAGAGCATTTTAAGGACCTAAAAATCTTTACTGTTTACGGGCAGTATATATATGAATCAATAATGATTGCAAAAAAACAAGAAGAATATTCGGAACCAAAAGAAAAATCCCATTCTTATAATTTAAGAAATAAGAACGAAAATGTACAACCACATAGGACCAAATTTTTTGAAAAGAAACCATCCTATGCAGGTAATAGATTTTTTAAATTTATTCCAAAAAATAATAAAAAAGAAACAGATCCAAACAAATTTAAAAAAATATTGAGAAAGAGTTTTTAATAAATTTAGCAATTTATTCATTTGACGATTTTTTCACCTCCTTTAGTCGCTATGATAAATTATCTTACTAGATTTGTAAAATGTATTTGTTGTTTTTATAACCATTCCTCATGTTTTGCTGTTTTTTATCCTGTTGAACTATTTTGACACTATTTTTATTGTAATTATTTTGACACTACCTATTTATTGTACAATGTACATAAAAATGAATAAAGATATTTGAATTGAATTGAAAATTAACAATAATTTTAAGGTTGGCTATCACTTTAGGCAAAACATACCAAGAAGTAGTAAAATGAAGCGAAGAGGGACACCAGGGTATAAAATAACATGTTACCTGGTGTCAAATCACAAGTGTTGCCCAGTGCTGAGAATTTGTCGCCCAGAGGCTATGGGTGGCTCCGGCATAATTTTTAATGATTATCATTTTTAATTTATCTGAATTTAAAAAGTAGGCTACTGTGATTTTGGCCCTAAAGGTTGGGAAGAGAGCCTTGGCCTGTTACAAGGTTCTAGAATACAAATTAAGAGTGATGTTTATTATATGGACTAGTCAATAGTTATTAACAAGAAAATATAGGTAATTGGAAAGTTGATTAAAAGATAGCCTACATATGACCCCCCCTTTAGATGGGGGGTATACCCAAGTTTCCCTGATAAGTCTGACACCACTGTCGCCCAGTGGAAATCCCTTAAAATATGCTCCGAGGGACACACTGACACGGGTAGCACGGCAGATATATAAATGTGGCCTTCTAAAACAAAGTTAACCCATTGGTACCGACTTGCGAGCATTACTCATACGGCCACTGCAGGCACGACGGCTGAAGAGTGGCTGGTTGTGTCACCGCTACGCAGCACCACTTAGTTATTTTATTATTATTTTGTTCCCTCTTAATGTTTCTTCTTACTTTTATGATGTTTATAAATATCTTGCTTTGAGTAGGCATACCAAACTTAAGCCTATTTACTTATTTATTTTTGCGAATAACTTAACAATTACCACTTAGGCCTACTTAACAAACCTACTTACTAAAGTAAACAACTTGTGATTTTTCTACGTAGGTAGTGAATCAATTGAACTTTATAATAGTAATAGTGTCATTTGGTATAGTACATCTGGATTACCGGTAATCTTAGAATTTGTAAATCAAGTTTATTTTTCAAAAATTGTTTTGAAAAGTTTTATTTTTATAGGCTAACTTTTTTTAGACTTTTACCTATAGGCCTACTCCGCCCATACACATGCCAATGTTGTAAATATATGGCCCGGCCCGGAACGCCATTAACTTACCACAACGATACAATGTACAGCCATCGGTGTTCGTGGTATAAGTTAGTGGATACAGTGCTCGGCTGATATGGTTCGAATCCCATCGGAAACTTTAACTTTTTGTCAAAGATTTTGCTTTAAATGCCATTGCCCTACTTCTTAACTGTAGGCTACATATTTTGTTAGAATTGGGTACAGTTTCTTAACTGGGCTAACTTACGCTAACTTAATATTGATTGAAACTATCGATTCAAATAGTAACTTAAACCTTCATGAGATTTTTTCACCATCAGCAAGGTTGGTTGGAGGGTGCTGCAGGCAGCGCATTAATTCCTTCCCCAATGGGTTAACTTGTTGCATCAGGTAATTTGCAAAAATCAGCAGGTGTAAGCCTAAAATATCACTCCAATCCACACACGCCCCACATTCTTACATATTTATTTTAATGTTAAATAATTAGGCCTATTAAATAATGCAACAGTCTAGATTAACCCTCCCAGTGTTACTTGACGAAAATTCGACAAGCAGCACACTTTGTGTAGTGTTACTTGTCGATTTTTCGACACGCAGACATCGTTTACGGCGAAGGCTCTATGACTGACTGAATCGGATTGAACTGGATCGAGTTAGGTATCGTTCTTTCCGTAATATTCTAAGCTTTCTCCAGAGGTCTGTCTCTAAGCGCTATTCATTTTAGTTCCGAAAATATTGTAGCAGACAGCTGACGTGCGTGTATTTGTAAACAGCTAGGTTCCCCCGGACCGTTGACTGATGTGTTTTATTACATTTATCATTGTTTTAGTGTTAAAAATCAAAAGTAGTGATATACGTGGTGCATTATAAGAAGATTTAAGTGGTTTTGAAGTGCTGGTTGATGATCCTGAAGAAGTAGGTAGTGATATTGATGTAAATTATCAGCCAGATTCCTAGCTATGGTTAGGCTATGCATTCTTAGCTAAACGCTATGTACTGAAATCAGTTTTTTGCCCATAACTTATTTATTTGCAAATCTACTTCCTTATATTATTATATATTTGTAATCCTCATAAAATTTAGAACAAAGTGGCTATTTTCAAATATTTATAGGCCTATAATTTATACAATTTCATTGAGCGCGAACTTATTTTTTTTTTTTAAATTTTCGAAATTATATTTTTTTTACCTAAAAAATTTTTTTTGAAAAAATGTTCCTTATGTTTTATATATAATATTGAAGCCCATGATTTTCCAAACAAAATGGTATATAGAACATTAGAATTAACATTGTTTTAAGCTTCTCAGATCCGTTTTAATAAAACCTTGCAAATGCGCCAAAAATAGGTGGACATTAAGGCCTAAACTATGGACACTTGGAGGGTTAAACGTTTGTTGGGTCGGGGCTAGGTTTAAATTGTAGTAAAAAGAGGACAGGCTAACTTAACTTGTTCAAGAGCATGGTCAAAAAGAGTGGCAACAAACTTTCAACATGAAATAAGTTTGATACCGAATTCTGTAGGCAAGTGGTACGAATGATTGAATAACTTATTAAACTTACCTCGTCAACTGTATTGTAGTTATCAGAAGAACTTGCAGAACGCTGAAGTACAAGTCGAAAATGTAAACCGGCAACAACACTGACAGTCAAGACGTGACAACGCTTGAAACACTTCAAATTCAATGGCGGTTAGCAGCCGATCGTCGTATTTATGTGTTCAAGCGTAGCCTTCTGGATCGTTCAAGAGTGTTCTGTTCTGGAAGGCTCCACAATGAAAAACAGGAACACAGAGGAACAATCTAGAAGAATCTTGTAATTTTACGCCTCTGGATTGGAAAAGCCAGAATGTCAGCATAGCCGCATAGCACAAACAAATATATATATAGTCAGTGGTCTTACCTTCCACCATGGGTCTTACGTGTAATAATGACAAGTTTATTTATTTTTTAATCAACAATATTGAACTCACTGTCTTTATTGAAAACTATCACCATTAGCCTCCTCTCTAGCACTGTATTGTTCGACGATATTCCTGGGTAAACCAATTTAGAACGATTAAAACAGGATTATTGAGTATAGGCTATACATATTAAACAAATCAAATTAAAATCAAAATTTTATTGGGCAATTCGCCATCCAACATTAAAGTAATATAGGCTAAGTCAGAAATTAACAAAACAACAATCCTCTTTTGGGTCCTCTTGATGTAACGGTTTGTATACATAAAGAGATCATCAATTCTATTACCTTAGATTTATGGGAAGTGGTAAATTTTTAAATAATTACCATTGCTTACGGCTGTGTCCAGTTTTATTTAGATAAAAATGTCCCCAGGTTAGGTAGGGACGGGGTTTAAATTAGAAAAATGGTAGATTTTTATTAAATATTCCAAAAACCATGTACTTAGTTAAGCAAAAACTACGAAAAATCTCAAACGAGAATGGTAGTTTTCATATTGCTCAAGTGAACGGAGAGTGCAAAAGGTAAAGAAATTGACATATTTCGAACATTTTTATCACTTTAAAAGTTCCGGGATTGAAGTATCTTCTCTCTTCCATACTGCCCACATGTTCACATACTTTTAGTCAGCGCCACTCTAGGAGGATTAAACGTTTAGTTTAATCTTCAAAGGTGCCACTATACAGGGTGAATAAAAAGTCAAGACCCGCCTTTAATATTTTTCCCATTAAATATACAGAGATATCCTTTTGGTGGTCGTGCAATCTTAGCAGGAAGTTTCATTTTATGATTTTGACATTTTTGAGTGTCCCCCCAAAAGGGGGGGTTTGGGGGGGGGGGTAACTCAAATATTTTAAATGTAAACCCCCTTTAAGTGACACCTCATTTTGAAGTGTTTACAAAAACTTAAAGAATGGTGAAAACTAGAGGTCGCTATCTCTTCTCTATCCAAAATGGTAGCCCGTCAAATGTTGTAGAAAATCATTGGTAAAATTGGTTCGTAATGGTAATATTGGCTACCATTTTGGTTAGAGAAGAGATAGCGACCTCTAGTTTTCACTATTCTTTAAGTTTTTGTAAACACTTCAAAATGAGGTGTCACTTGAAGGGGGTTTACATTTAAAATATTTGAGTTACCCCCCAAATCCCCCCTTTTAGGGGGATACTCAAAAATTTCAAAATCATAAAATGAAACTTCCTGCTAAGATTGCACGACCACCAACAGGATATCTCTGTATATTTACTTGGAAAAATATTAGAGGGGGTGTCTTAACTTTTTATTCACCCTGTAGATGGGGTGTTCATGTATTTTCCTTAGCTACTGTATCTCTGTTCTTTGGATCCTCCCATGGTGGAATGAGTTAAAGTGGTAAAGTTAAACAAATAAAGTTATTAACAAAAAAATTAGGTTTCTGATTAGGTTATTCAACATTATTTACATCTAATATTTTGTTATAACAACAAGTAAAATGGGTAAAATTTGTGCTATTTAGTGTTGCGGAATAAAACTCTGCATGCCCCGCTCCTGTTTTACTGGTGAAGAGCCTCCTCTAAGCCTCCTCGAGGGTTAACATGCTATTTTATGCCCTGCTTTAGAGAAAGTTTTAATTTTCTTCAACCAACATTTTATATCAACAGACAGAGATTTAAACATAAAGAAAAGTGACTATCAACATGTAAGCCACTTATAACGTGTACAATTTACAACGGTAGTTAACAAATCCCTATTTCAAATTATTTTCAAACCGTTAACTTATTCATACAAATTGAATTTATCATAAAACCTAATTAGATGAAAATTTTGGGATAATATTGTTCAAAATTACACAATTCCTGCAAAAGGCAATAAATCATCCTTTACGGTATGAAAATAACTACCGTATACATTTTGTATGATTGAAAAAATATAACAGTGATAAATATTTTGTAAACAAATTGAAACATAAACATTTCAGTGACAGTTTTCAGAAAGAAAACTAGCTGTTCAAAACTATATATTGCATTGAACAAACTTAAAATGTAAGGGATCGGCTCTGCTAGACTTTTCAAAATTTAAAATTCAAAGAAGAATAAAGGTACAAGGTTCTTTCACATTACACGGTTTCTGACTTTGATAAAGATGTTAAGATGAATGTATCTGCAAAAATCATAGTGTGCATAAACAAACAGTCCAATTGACAGTGCAGATTGTAAAGATATAACCATCTATGCCATTATGCAACAGCAGCTGACCAAATTACAGCTTGTACAACTTATAATTTCCAAACTTTGTACAACTTGTACAAACAATTGAGTCGATTGCAGGACTAGTGTGTGAGTGGGGGAGGAACATCATCACAAAGGACAAAATTAGAACCGGATTCTCTGCCTGCCAGCTGTCAGAATCCTGGCAAACCTTGAACTGCCAAACCTCCCACAATGCATTACAAGACCTTAAAATTATGACCGTTGTATCTCTATGTACATTCAAGAAAGAGTATTCTGCATGTGGACAAAATTCAACCACCAAGAAACAGAGACTTCCACTCATACAACAACACGGTTCAGGTTCAACTTGCGAGTTCACCATACCATACTCTTGCTGAGAAAAAAATTAGCATCATATAACACGTTAATACTAATGTTGTTCAATGAAATGGTGACCATACAAAGTAGGTATTTTAAGCCAAGTATGAATGGAGATAAGTGTAGGATGAGTGGCGCGATCTTGTAGTCTTGTTAGTGACTAAGGTCGACATTCATTAGACACAGCTAGCGTCTAATAATAATTGTAGGTATGGGTTATTATTAGCCCATACAGCTAATGGCAACTAAGGGACCTACAGTTTATAGTGGAATCCGAACCACATTTTTGCATCAGGATAGTACTGCGGATAGTCGTAGTACTCACTCGTGCGGACGTTAATCCACACCAGGGAGTATCGCATCCACAGTGCATGACTATAAATATTCACAATTCAAGAGTCCACGTTGTTATCAAGTTAAGTGGTACTGTACGCTGGATTTCATTTATAAATTAAATGGAGGATGAAATACAACCCTTATAAGACATTTTTAAGGAACCAAAAAAGTCTCTTCTGCCTGCATTTTGAGCCAGTTGCAAGACACGGTTATATATGCAGCTATAGTAGTTTATAAGTTTTACAAGCTGATGAGCTAAATCATCTTGCAAGTATTCGAAAATAGATCTATAATTTATGACAAAAGTAACACATAATCTTAATTTTACTTACGTAAGGGCAGAAAAAATATAAAATCCCTTTATCCTTTGGTGCACCCCTGTAGTATTCTTGAGTCATTTTATGTTTGTAAAAATACGTATATTTAGTAAACAGCTAAAGTAAACAGTTTTTTTTTCAAATGAAATACTTTACATATTCGTTTAATTGAGTTAAGTTACTTAATTGTAGTGGATATACAAGCCCCAAAAGTCCAACTGAGGGAAACCTTGGGTGTGTAGTGTTTAACCACTTCCAATATTTGAAAGGATGGTAGGTAAACAAAATTGATTTGATGACCCAAATATACTCTGTTGTTTTATCTTTAAATCATTGCAAGTTAGACCAAATGCACCTTCACATGCTGCAAAATTACGAATTGACCTTGGATATTTTCAAAATCCAAAATATGTAGCCCACTATATTTATAACTTTGGTTTTAATATACAGAAAACATCCTCCTTATATTAATGCAAAGTAGGCCCAGAACACTATAATAAACATTAGGCCTTATACTGTTTTAAAAATATTGTTGAGTTCAATTTTTTACAATAATTTAACTTGTATGGACAGTAACACATGTAAAGGGCTGTTTTTACTGCAGTTTAACAAAAAATGTATAAGAGGCCTAATTGACTAATTTTTTGTGCAAAATACAATTTGTAAAAAATACAAAACTTTGTTTTTCAACACTTATACTTTCAAACATTTTCCTGGGAAAGACCCCTGAGACCAAGATGTATCTTAGACTTCCCTCTTATTCCTTGACCCCCAGACCGATGGCTTGCATCCCCTCTACAATTTGTTGGCTTTCCCTTTGGTCAATAATTATTTATCAAATGAATGCAATGATCTTGATACAGTATAGGGATTACAGGATGCCCTATGCCCATATTGAGATAAGATATAAGTTCAAATGATTATTCTGAGAGTTGTATCAGAGTAAATATAAACCTTTGTTGGTTAAAAGTTATTGCTTGTTCCGAGAAATGAAATGTTCAACACATAAAAATCTATTAGAGAACGAAAACTTCTCTACCTGCTGAAAAATAAGTTTTTAACCATTCTGGAATGAGGTGTGTATATGTGAAGCTAACATGTGATTCACTTTTAGCTTATCAAATGTTTGCTTTGCCAAACATCAAATGTTTGCTTATAAAATGTTTGAGTAGCTGTCAGGACTACTAACTGGACCCTCCCTCCTGAATCAATAATATTACAGTAGAAGGAGTATGGAAATAATTTTCTGTCCAACTCCAACATCACTACAGGCCCTCCTAGGTAAAGGAAAACCAAATACGGTATTTAAAATTAGAAAATGCATAATGAAATGAGTGTGAGTGAACAATCAAAGAGCAGAGTGTCCATTGCTTTGTCGAGAGTTACTAGGGAGTTTTGTAACAAAACATCAATACACGGTCTAAAGTACATCACTGAGCCAAACCGCACCTTTGGTGAAAGGTAAGTTTGTTATTTAAATAAAAGCAATGCAGTTTGAAATAAACATATAT